AGGAAATATTTCTTTAGCATTTAATTATTATCAGTAAAGCTGAATATTTTTCTATAGACTTGCTACTCTTTTGTCATTAATATTTGTGAATTGTCTGCTCATATTTGTTACCCATTTATCATCTGGAGGGTAAGACCTTACAGGTTTTAGAAAAATCGTATCTATGATATTTTTTCCTACATTTTTAAAAATCAAAGGATAGTTGATTTACAATGTTATGTTAATTTCTGCTGTATAGCAAAATGATTGTTATATATGTACATGTATTAATTCTTTTCCATTGTGGTTTATCATAGGATATTGGATTCAGTTCCCTGTGCTATGTACTAGGACCTTGTTATTTACCCATTCTATATATATTAATACTAATTTGCATCTGCTAACCCCAAACTTCCAATCCATCCTTCCTTTACCCACTGTCCTCTTGTCAACCATGTTTGTTCTTTATGTCTGTGAGTCTATGACCTTTCAACATATTAAAGCTTTAAATATTTTATCATAGTCGATATTTTTCTTTTTGAGTAAAGATTTTTAAAATTATGTCCAGAAATTTACATGCAATGAAATGGAAGCTGTTCTTTTTCTTTTGTGATCTAATCAATTGTTCAACTGAACATCTGTCAAGCATTTACCATTTGCCAGACTCTGGGCACTGCACTGGACATTGATGATGCTGGAAGTTCCCATCCTTGAAGAGACTACCTCTGCTTCCCACTCCCAACTCCCTGCCCATGAATATAATTTTATAATCTTCTGAATCTGATTTTAATTATGCTTTATTCATACCCAGTGCCAGCTGCTTAAGGAATATGTAGAATATTTTTGTTGAAGGAGAAAGAATGTTATAGATAAACATGTAAATTACCCTTCAGAAGCTATGTTTAGAGGCCAGGGATAGAAGAGAAAGAAGGGAGGAATCAAAGTCATACATAAGAAAACAAAAATACTGAATCACTGTGCTGCCTACCTGAAACTAACACAATACTGTAAATAAATTTAAAAAATAAAACAATTTGGATCTCACTGAGGGGGTGGGCAATGAGAATGAAAATGATTCACTTGTCTCTAAAAATACATAAACATTATAAAACATCATGAAACAAATTCTTTTAATTTCTCCATCAGATGGAAAGAGGCAATTTGAGGACTGTTTTTCATTTGTCTTTGTAATTCTGTTGCTTAGCATGGTATCTGGCCAAATACCATATAATAAATGTTTGTTGAATAAATCTCCAATAGAAATTGGGCAGAGTCTGCCCTGGATTTTTAACCATAAAAATATGCTTTTCAATAATCATACTTTCAGTAATGATCCTTTTTTTTTTTTTTTAGTAATCATCCTGTTAAAATGCTAATTCTTTTAATTATAACTTTCCTGTTACAATATATAATAGCCTTATCATATTTACAAACAACAAACTTTGAATAGGATACCTTGAGAAACCAATCTTGGATGGCTTTCTTTAGATTGTAATTAAATTAACAGTTCCTTTCAGAATAAAAGATGCACCTTAAGTGTACATTTGTTTTTATAAACCCATACATTTTGGATTCAAAATGCTTTCACAAAACAATGTCTTAATATGGACTTTCCAATCCCCAACCATAAATAAATTCCCCTAATGACTTTTGAAAAATGCAATTCATTTATCACTTTTCAGCAGTATTGTTGCTTTGTAAGAGTAAAATAATGTTGCTCTGTGAAACAGCCTTTGGAATGCAATCTTATTCTGATAGCATTTTACCAAGCTCAAGAGGAGGAGAATGAAGCAGATAATACACAAGGTGAAGATCCTCTCTCCCTATACCTGCATGTCATTTTGGGGTAAGAAGCAGGGTACAGGGGAGATTGGAAATAGGATTTTTATTTTAGAGAGATTGAACACCCTGAAGGTCTTTTATCAGATGGAATAAAGTTTTAAATTGACTTGGATACTTACTCATTTCTTTTGCCCCCCAGTGAGTAGGGAAGAGTATGGAAATAACACTAGATTTTTTAGAGACAAAATAAAGAAGCTGGATTTTCTCTAAGTACCTGAGCTTGTAGTTCATTCACTTATTGATTCATTCATTTATTAATAGTAAAGCTTAAGTGCCTACCCCATGCCAGCACTGTTCTAGGAGCTTGAAGTATAACAGAGAACAAAACTGAGGGCTTGGGGCTTAGACAGCACACATCCCAATTGAGGAAGACAGAGCATAAACAAGTAGACAAATGAATACATCACAGGTTAGGCTGTGGTGGTAAGAGCTAAGAAGAAAGATAATGGCAGGGGAGAAGGGATGGAGAGTGATGGGGGAAGGTGGTTATGAAAGGGTTCACAGAAAAAAATGACATTTGTATCATATTTATTACCCCATTATTATCATCATATTTGGGCTTCCCAGGTGGTGCTAGTGGTAAAGAACTCACTTGCCAATGCAGGAGACTGAGATGCAGGTTCAATCCCTGGGTTAGGAAGAACCCCTGGAGGAGGAAATGGCAATCCACTCCATTGTTCTTTCCTGGAGAATCCCATGGACAGAGGAGCCTGGTGGGCTACAGTCCATAGGGTTGCAAAGAGTTGGACACGACTGAAGCGACTTGGCATGCACGCACATATTTATTATACTAATTATGATGGTATGCTTTATTCATGTTAAAATGACACACATTTATTCCTATTTGCTATGAGGTTTTCTTGGAATATTTACCTAGAATAGTTGCTGGTTATTTACCTAATGCCTTATTTGCACAGGGAAGATTATTTTATATTTTTAAATGGGCATTCTTACATTAATAGGTTTTTAAAATTGAGATATAATTGACATATAACATTACATTGGTTTCAGGTGTACAATAGAATGATTCAATACAGTTGATCTTTGGGCACTGTGAGTCTGAACTGTGTGGGTCCACTGATAGGATATTTTTCAATAGTAAATACATAGTGCTACATGATCTGTGGTTGGTAGGATGCAGAACCATGGATATAGAAGGCTGACTATAAAGTTAACTTGGATTTCCAACTGCACAAAGGGTCAGTGCCCCAACTCTGGAGATGTTCAAGAATCAACTGTATTTGTACTTATTGTGAAATGATCATAATAAGTCTAATTAACATCCATCATCATACATACATGCGTGCATGCTAAGTCACTTCACTTGCGTCTGGTTCTTTGCAACCCTATGGACTGTAGCCTCCCAGGGTCCTCTGCCCATGAGATTCCAGGCAAGAATCCTGGAGTGGGTTGCCATTTCCTTCTCCAGGGGATCTTCCCGACCCAGGAATCGAACCCAGGTCTTCTGTATTACAGGCCGATTCTTTACCGTCTGAGCCACGGGGGAAGCCCATCATCATACATAGTAACAGTTTTTTTCTTGTGATGAGAACTTTTAAGATCTGCACTTAAATGAAAGAACAAACGCCAAAAATTCATTTAACCCATTAGTGAGGGAAACAGCAGGGTGACAAAACTGAAGTACATATAATTACTGAAATCAGAGTGCAAAGTTTGATGTTAATATCCTTAACATCCTTCAGGGCAATAAAACTGTTGCCTTTGGGGTTTATCTTTTCTACTAGACAAATGATTTGCAATGTATCCTTCTCTACATTAACATCAGACTTAACAGAGTCTAGGCCCTAATAGAAATAGTATTTATTCATGATAATTTATAAGTTATAGAAACTATTTAAAATTATTAAACATTATAAATAAGTAAATCTATAATAGAAATCACAGGTGTATTTCAATAGAGCAAGGACTGGCAAGCTATGACCTGTCTCACTCATCCAGTGGGCTAAATCCAGCCCGTTACCTATTAACAAACTTCTTGAGTGAGTGAAAGTCACTCAGTTGTGTCAGACTCTTTGCGACCCTATGACTATACAGTCCATGGAATTTTCCAGGCCAGAATACTGGAGTGGGTAGCCTTTCCCTTCTCCAGGGGAATCTTCCCAACCCAGGGATTGAACTCAGGTCTCCTGCATTGCAGGTGGATTCTTTACCAGTTGAACAGAAGAGATGCCCAAGAATACTGGAGTGGGTAGCCTATCCCTTCTCCAGTGGATCTTCCTGACACTTAGTATCAAATTTTCCTCATTAAGTCTGGTATAAGATTCTTTTGAGGTCCTGTTGCATTATGCTTACTAGTTTGACTTTAGGATTGTTATTATATGTGGAATTCGGATATAGATTTCTTTTCATGTGCTCTCTTTGTCAGAGTTTGGAATCGGGGTTATGTTAACTTCATAAATTGGATTCTACCTGGGCTACCTTCTTCCTCAAATTACACATGTTTTCTGTTGCTCTGACTCTTCCCACTAGCTTGCATAGTGCTTGACACTTGGCAGGTGACCAGTAACTCTCTGTTGCTATGAAATGAAGCAGATTAGCTGTCAGGATATGGAGGGACTTCCACACTGACAAGAAGGATGACCTTAAACTTGATGACCTTTATATTATGATCTAATAGTTCTTAAAAACATGAAATATTTTTGCTGTTTCCTCTAACTGAATCAAACCTTAAGGAAAATATAATTTTCTGTATATAATATTCATATTTTGTCATTTAATTACAGCAATTTTTAAAAATGAAACCAATATAGCAGGCAAGGTGTTTTTTATTTCTCTTTTTAAAAACTTTAATTTATTTGGCTGCGCCAGGTCTTAACTGTGGCATGTGGGATCTAGTTCCCAGATCAGGAATTTAACCCAGCCCCCCTGCATTGGGAGTGCGGAGTCTTAACCACTGGACCACCAGGGAAGTCCCTATAGCAAATTTTATTTTTTTTTATTTTTTATTTTTTTTTTTTCCATTTATTTTTATTAGTTGGAGGCTAATTACTTTACAACATTGCAGTGGTTTTTGTCATACATTGAAATGAATTAGCCATGGATTTACATGTATTCCCCATCTCGGTCCTCCCTCCCACCTCCCTCTCCACCCCATCCCTCTGGGTCTTCCCAGTGCACCAGGAATTTTAGAAGTAAAGTATCTTGTATACAGATATTACCTCTTCTTCTTCTTGCTCTTCTTCCTCTTCCCCCTCCTCTTCTCCTTTTCCTTCCTTTTGGGCTTCTTTCTTCTTTTTCCGACGATTCTCAATGACTTCAGGATCCCACTGATCTCTTGTGTATATGTATCCTGTACTACTGTGCTGCCTTTGCCCCGAAATTCTTTGGCATAAATCATAGTCAGGGCACTAAGGAACAATATTAATCATTACTCAAAACATTTTGAGTATACCTTTACTTTCTGTTCATATATTATGCAATATATAAACCCCCAAATTCCTCAAAACCCTGAGCAAATGCAGGACTATAAACGGTATTTTGAATCAGATTTCATCACATGCCAAGAGATGCACAAGATACAACTTTTATGTTATGGCAACACGTTTCTTTACCCAAAAGTAATACATATGACAAAGTTTCAGAAGCTGTAGAATAAAAAAAGAGAGTTAGAATAACAGTAGAAAGAGCTAGAGAAGTAGAATAGAAAATCTGTTTAGTTAGCAGAGGTACACAGGAGGACTTTGTCAGATTAGTTTGAAAAGGCTGAGAATGGATGAAAATGGTGGGATAGCCACATTATTCCAACAAAAAAATAGATCATGTATTTATAGTATTTACTATGAGATACAGCTCTATGGATGAAGTATTTCATAAAATAGCATTAGTGAATGGGATCTGAAAGGTCACCTGATTTAGTCTAACTGTATCATCTGCAAATGAGAAAACTGAATCCAGATAGCAAAAAAGGCCAAAACCAAAGTCTATGAGTGATTTTTTCATTTCAAGTGCTTCCATGTGTATAATATTTCACTCGGTTCTTAAACTAACCCTGTCAGAGAAGTAATACAGTATCAGGATTCAAACCATTTTCAGATCAGAGAAGGACTGCTCTGGCAGCATCAGGTCACAGTGTCATGAGGGGAAACTACAACCTGAGACCAGGCCTTCTGCTCCATAGCCCACGCTCTGTAACACATTATTAATGATAAACTAAGGTTTGGGGCTGTAAAGTCTGCTCTGAATATTTTTCAGGATAAAAACCTCCAGATGACATTCTCTAGTAGTGGTTTTAAAACATCAGAGTGTAACTCTATATAGAGGACTATAAATAAAGTTTTCTGCTTGTGATTTATTAAGTCTGGAGTGAGGCGCACACATTTTAACAAACATCTTCAGTGATTCTGATGCCAACAGTTTAATGCACCACACATGTGAGAAAGAAAGGGGACAAGAAACTTTAGAACTTTTCATGCTCATATTCTGATTTCCTCAGACTACTTCTATATGGGATGGGAATTTATTGATGCAAGACTTTTATTTAGGCTTTCTAATTTTTCACACACAAAAAAGATTTCAACTCATACTGGTAATTAAAAAAAAATATGCATATTTGCCCTCATTCAGCAACCTAAAATACCCACATTGTGGGTCCTTGGCAAAGACTATTGCCTTTAGCCGTCTCCTGTTTTCACGCATCAGTTCAGTTCCGTTGCTCAGGCGTGTCTGACTCTGCAACCCCGTGGACTGCAACACACCAGGCTTCCCTGTCCTTCATCAACTCCTGGAACTTGCTCACACTCATGTCCATCGAGTCAGTGATGCCATCCAACCAACTCATCCTCTGTCTTCCCCTTCTCTTCCTGCCTTCAATCTTTCCCAACATCAGGGTCTTTTCCAATGAGTTCGTTCTTCGCATCAGGTGGCCAAAGTATTGGGGTTTCAACCTCAGCATCAGTCCTTCCAATGAATATTCAGGACTGATCTCCTTTAGGACGGACTGGTTGGATCTCCTTGCAGTCCAAGGGACTCTCAAGAGTCTTCTCCAACACCACAGTTCAAAACCATCAATTCTTCGGTGCTCAGCTTTCTCTAGAGTCCAACTCTCACATCCATGCATGACTACTGGAAAACTATAGCTTTGACCAGATGGTCCTTTTCACATACAGGAAGTGATTTATCAATCTTAGGGTGAGGCTGTCCTCAGAGCAGCCCTCAAACTTCAGCAGCATCAGTGTCACCTGGAGAGCTTTTTCAACACGGACAGCTGGATGCCACTCCCCACAGTTTCTGTAGTTCTGGGTTGCTCCCTGAGAATCTGCATTTCTGACAAGCTTCTTGAGTGCTGCTAATGCAGTTGGCTCTAGGAACAAACCCTGAGGACCACTGCTGTAGTAGATCACTGGCCTTTAATGCTTTTTTTTCTTTTTTTAAGTACAGACCTCTTTAGAATATGATGGACGCCATAAGCTTTTGCTTCAGGAAAATGCCCATACACATAAAATTTGCATATAATTTCAGATGGTTCATGGGTGCTTAAGTGTTCTTGGACCCCAGGCTTAGAACTTCTGGTCTAGAAATCCCAGACTCCATTCCCAAATAAAGTCAGACCATCAGAGAAGTGTGTGCTGTACTGAAGTTCTGTTTCACACGAGGTCCTCTGATTACACTCCAGCTACCTATAGAAACTGCCATGGACACCAACCACCACACTTATATCAGTGGGGTTAAGGGCTCCATTCTCTACACACAGTACAACGCTTATATTGAACCCATGTTAAGATATAGCTCTCATTTAGTTTTTCCTGAGGAATTCCTCATCTTTTCAAGGACAATGTGAATTTTATATAACTGGTCACATTTCCCCTTCTACTTTGGCTCGCCAAACTTAGAACCAAATTCATGACCCAAATTTAGTGAGCATTTGGGGCTTTATTGCCTGTATATCTGTGTGTTCTTATTCCACTAAGTCTTAATTTCCTATACACTCTCTATTTTCCATGGCCTAGACTTTATATTTGGTTTCAGTTAAATCTTTGAGATTATTTTTCTTCTCTCCATTATACACATGGGTGACATTCTGAAAGTCACAAAGGGGTGTTGATTGGCCCCTGACCATAATCTGTGGCTGGGGTTGCAGATGACACCACACCCAGCACTGGATGCCACCTGTCTCTCACGGCTGGCCCAAACACACCACTGAGTTCCCGCACCTGAGCTGAGAACCATCTGATTTATTTATTCTGAGTGGGGGGACCAGGCAGGGTATTATTATAAATAGTTATCATTCATTTTATAAACTAGTGATCCTCACCTCACTGTATTCTTACCACAACCCTATGAGGCAGCTATCTTTGTATCATCTTTGTGAAGAGGAAATTGAGGCTCCTAAATGTGATTTACCAAGTTCTATAGTTGCTAAAGGAAAGAACTGGGACCAACCTAGCAATATTATTAACATTCATACATCTGAATCATTTGTTTATCCTTTCATTTTATTTAACTGGCAGAGTTATTAGGTACCATTTATTGTACTAGTTGATGTTTACAGGAGTAAGACATGGTTCCTGCCTCCAAGCAAGGCATTTGTCTAGAAGAAAATGGAAAATTATAATAGAATGCAGTATTAATAATATGATAGAAAAGAGCAACATGAACGGTTGTCAGACAATATTTAACTTTTCTGTGGTAAGTAAAGGGTGGGGTATAAGGAGAGAGAGAGAGAGAGAGCGTAGGGGTGTGAGTCAGTTAACGTTTGTGTTAATGTGAAGGGGGTGGTCATCAGGTAATGTTCTGTAGAGATGATGCCTGAATTGACTTTCAAAGAATGACTATGATTAAGCCTGGTGAAAGGACAAGAAGGTATCTCCTGTGGACAGAGCTACAGGATCAAAAGAACGGAGGTATGAGAAAATACAATTCAGTCCCTAAAATTGATGCATAAGCTATTTTTTCTTAGCTTCTTAAAAAATTAATAACATTCTTTGAATTTAACTACTATCAAAAAGAATGTTTATATACTCTATACTATAAAGACATATTCTGGATGCATGAGACAAGTGCTCGGGCCTGGTGCACGGGAAGACCCAGAGGGATCGGGTGGAGAGGGAGGTGGGAGGGGGGACCGGGATGGGGAATACATGTAAATCCATGGCTAATTCATTTCCATGTATGACAAAAACCACTGCAATGTTGTAAAGTAATTAGCCTCCAACTAATAAAAATAAATGAAAAAAAAAAGACATATTCTTACCTTAATATTGATTATAATATCAGGTTTCAATTTTAAATTTCTAATTAATTCTATTTGCTGCAGAGTAGTCATGGCATCCTGTGAAAGTGATGGTATTTCAGTGATAATATAGCCTGTAAAGTGAAACATAATTTTAAAAGTTTTATAATATTATCAATATCTGAGTGAGTGGATTTATTATTACTTTATAAAAACATAATTTCTTTATTGATGAATACTAATGCTGATCTTAAAATATCTGTTGACATTTAAAATTAATAGTTAAGGTTATTGCCACATGAAGTATAACTATGAATAATGTTTCTCTGGCAATAAAACTATTGGGCTAAAGGAGACAGCTTTAAAAATTCCAAATCAATTGTTTTAGGCACAAGAGGTGCCTAGAGAAGGAAATTCCATGCCATTAATTCTTTAACTCATCTTAGGAAAACTCATATGGTGAGTGGTAAAGGTAAATTGTAGGGGTTGCATGGTATATTATTTTTCTTTCTTGAATTAATATTTCATAATAGAATATACATATACAGTGTTTATGTAAGTTATAGAGAATAAAAAAAATCCATGTAACCCTCATACAGTTTAAGAAACAACATTATTAATATGATTTTGGCTTAGTATGCTTATTGGCTTGCATCCCTACCCCAAAACCTATATCTACTCATTGAAATTCACCCTTGATACCATTATCATATTAGTTTCCTTAATATATTTATTTAATATGTCACTCTCTTATTTGAGAAACCTTACTCTGTTTTAAAATTTATGTATTTTTAATTGAAGGATAATTGCTTTACAGAATTTTGTTGCTTCCGTCAAACCTCAATATGAATCACCCATAGGTATACATATACTCCCTCCCACCTCCCTCCCCATCCCACTCCTCTAAGTTGATACAGAGCCCCTGTTTAAGTTTCCTGATCCATACAGAAGAGAAACCTTTCTCTTAATAGAACAGAATAAAGTCTTGACTCTGTCACTGGAAATTAAAGGTCTTCGACAAGTTTTTCTGCTGTTTTAGAGAATATTTTTTCCTTGGAGGAACTGACAAATTATGGTTATTAAGCTTTGATTTTTGGTACACATTTTATAAAAAGTTAGTGGAGTGAGGTTGTCAAGACTGACCAGTGCCTCCTCTGGGACATGAAGGCTGGCATTAACCCCTTGGACTGACACCCTGCAGGGCTGGGTGCTGTGGTGAAGGTGACTGCATGAGTTAGCCCTAGACTGAATTCAACCGTGGCCCAGCTGACCCATCCTGATCAGATAAATCCAGAGACCAGTCAGTCCCCAGAGATCATCACCCCACCCCCCCGCCAACTCTAAGCAACAAGGGATTACACAAGACCTCCCTCCCATCCCCCCTGCTCAGCACTGCTCACCTCTGTGAATCTGCAGTGCACGACAGAAAGATGCTTGGCACTCTGTTTGCAGGGCTCTCTAGCACCCTGCCCGCTACCACAACCAATGCCACTGCTCAGAGAGCTTCTCAGGCATTCCAAGCCTGACTGTCTGCAGGCATGCCAAACCTTGCGTATACATGTATATTCGAATGAACTTCCTACTTGGTCTCTTTCCTGGTGGAACCAGCAGGAAGGTGGGACCAGCAGAAATAGCAGGTTGTTTCCATGGGGTCTGGCTCTTAGTGTTCTGTCTCAGTGTTCTGAGCAATGGATTTGGGGGCTTTACCCACTGAGAGGTGGCCAGTATCATCATATCCAGACTCCAGAAATATATTTATGGAAGAATTGTGGCAGAGATAGTTATGTTGCTTGTCTCACCATTGAAGATTTAGAGGAATAACTTAGTTCTCTAGATCCAATTCTGGGAAGATCTCAAGGGGATACTTCTTAGAGCGACTGAGCCCACTGTTAACCTCTCTAATCCCAGAGATGCGTTGTAAAGATGGAAGCATAGGTGAGGATTCCACCATCCCATCCCACCTTTCCTTGACACCATTACTAAGCCCTTGCACCCCGTGCTAAAGATGGAAGAATGGTAGACCCCACCCCCTCCTTGCTGGGAAGCTCTGCATATACCATCATAGGCAAGATAGGCACTAGGCAGGCTAATGCCCAGCCTGCATCACCCCCACCAAGGAACAACTCAGACTGTCCACACCACTGCCCAGGGGAAGCCAACTGGCCTGTAGCATCACTTTGCCACCACTTTCTGGCACAGTGGGAAGAAGGTATTCCCACAAAACTGAAGATGGCATGCCACTGCTCTTAGACTGAAGTGTTGAGAGATCCATGGACATCAGGTGGCTTAGCATCCAGCCAGCCCTGATAGTTACCTCACCTCATGCCAGCCTGACATGAATGGACGCACTGGTGATCAATGACTTAGAGTACCATCTACAATATGACACACCGGGGCAGGGGCTGCCCAGACCAGGGCTGTCCATCAGTCACTTGGGAAAATGATTTTTTCTGGAATATAGAAAGAGAAAGCAGGGAGGGGCTTCTTAGGGTACCCAGGAATTGACTCTTCCTTTTTGTCTCAGGTGAGGATGCAGCTCATGGCATCTGATTTTGGCTCAAGGCCAACACAGCATGACAGGTTGTGAATAAAAGGTTTATAACTATAGATAATGTAAAGTTTTTTTAAATAGTGATAGAAGTTCCAGGTATAAAAGGGCTCTGGTACAGAAAAACATTGATTGGATCTGACAATACTTTACTGTGCAGGGTTCCTGGCAGCACATATCCATCTTTAGGGATTTTGGAATCATCAATCACCCAGCCTCACCCAGGCCCTGACCCAAGTTAAAATCTCTATTTTGAAAGCCCTTCACTTTCAATATCGCTTCTACCATCTACCAGGCTGCTGGATAAGACCAAACATCAAAAAGAATCCTTGCTTAGCAGAGAGTTTCAAACTGTGTTTAGCAGTTTAGCAAAGTGCTATGTTCCAAAGAAATTTCTCTGGGGCTGCTGTAGGATGAGTGAAGGGAGGCTGGGTAGAAGGGACTTGACATCCTGCCTTCACTGTAGCCCTAAATGAGCCCAGTTGGGCATGCCTAGACTGAGGCCATGCACTTGCATGCTGACAGTGTGGCCCTCAGGCTCAAGAATTATTATACAACTGACTTTTCCTCTGCCAGCTCCCAGGACCAGTACCAGGGTCCCAGAAGTCTAGGGGAAAGAGGCATACATTAAATGATACCAGGGGGTATAACTGGCAAAATTCAGAAGCTTAGGAAACTCAAAGACAAATAACCAGTTTCTTCAGCATAAAAAACACAAGATGCTAGACAGAGGCACAGGCATTTTAAAGATAAAAGGAAACTGTGACACACGAAGCGATAGCAATATGTGAAACCTGGTTGGTTGGATCCTGCTTCAAACAAACAAACAAACAAGCAAATTAAAGCCAACTAGAAAAAAAATATATATGAGGTACTGGGTGAAATTTGACCACAGACGCGTGAGTAGATGAATTATTATTAACTTTTAGGTATGATAATGGTAATATGATAAGTTTTAAAGGAATCCTTATCTTTTTGAGATACAAACTAAAACATTTACAGATGATATGATATGGATTAGCTTCAAAGTAAAGTTGGTTGGGGGAGGGGTATAGTCAGAAGTGTGAATAAAGACGGGACAAGAGCTGTCATTGTTGAATCTGGGTGAGAGACACATGGGGGGTTTTATACCAGTCTCTCTACTTTCATTTGACATTTTCCATAATAAGTTAAAAAGTTTATGAACATTGTGAATGGCAAGCTGAGTAGATTTATTTTTCTAATATTTCTTTTTTTTCTTTCTCTTTTTGCCAGTACTTAACAATTTATGCCATCTTTTTGTGACCGAGTAAGTCACCCTAAATTTTCTTAAGAGGTAAGGTGAAGTAAAGAATAAACAAAAAGATATTTGCCTATATACCTTTATATATATTCTTCAGTTTCAATCATTATACTTTTTGAGGTAATTTAATGACCTAAACTGGAATTCTGTGATTGTCTTTCTTTTACCTATTTATTCATTTTACTTTCCTCATTCTGAGTGTTTTTCCTAAGTTCATTCTCTTTGTTGGAGGAGGGAATGTCAACCCACTCCAGTATTCTTGCCTGGAGAACCCCCCACAGACAGAGAAGCCTGTCCACGGAGTCACAAAGAGTCAGACACGACTGAGCAACTAAACACATTCTCTTTATTACTGATCACTAGATAGTTAAATCGGAGAAGGCAATGGCACCCCACTCCAGTACTCTTGCCTGGAAAATCCCATGGACGGAGGAACCTGGTGGGCTGCAGTCCATGGGGTCGCAAAGAGTCAGACATGACTGAGCGACTTCACTTTCACTTTTCACTTTTATGCACTGGAGAAGGAAACGGCAACCCACTCCAGTGTTCTTGCCTGGAGAATCCCAGGGATGGGGTTGCACAGAGTCCGACACGACTGAAGTGACTTAGCAGTAGCAGATAGTTAAATGGATGAAGTGTATTTATATGAAATAAAAGAGATGATATGTGGATATATTAATATATTTATGTATTAAATAGTTCATTCTGTATATATAGATCTTTCTACATATAGATATAGATTATATATATATATATATAATAATCTACATCTTTGGCCACTGATCAGCATCAACTGCAACTAACTATATATGTATACACACACACATATATAGTACACACACACATATATAGTCTTCAGTGAGAAGTCTGCTGTTGCTATTTCCACTGTTGATTTTCATTGTACTGCACTTTATTTGTGCCCCTGTATTCTTAACAGTCACAGCGCCCTCTGTTAATGTACTGAGACTATAAAGCAGATCTCTATATTTTTTTCTATCATTCAGTAAATCTCTTTCAGGTGGATGATTTTCTCCCAAACATATCTTTGTTCTTCCTTCTTTGGCAAATGCCATAGAGTTTGCCCTTTTCCTTTTAGTCATTCTGAACTTAAGTAGGCTGTCTTGGGAAATTAGGTCCAAAGTCCCAGTTCAGCATCTGTTTGAGCGCAGAGAGATTTCTCAGGTCCAGAGCCAGAGGGTAGACTGGATAGAGGCTGAAGCCTGCAAGTATCTGGAGCCAGAGGATAAGTTGGTGTCATTCTAGTTCCCATTCTGGTCTTATGATTGTGGATTAATGCAGAGAACCTAACCATTGACAGGACTTAATAATAAAACTCAGGGCAAATAGGAAAGCAGTTAGCACAGGCTGTCAGCGCTGCATGAAGGACCACAGCAGATTATTGATGCTTTTGCTGAGTAACATGTTGCTAAAAGAAGGTTGAATCACATAAACTTAAATTTTGAAAACAAATGTAGATTCTGAAGAACAAAAACAAGTAAACAAGCAAATAAAACTATCAGAGTCACTCAACTGAATTCAGCCTCTGGGATTCCTGCGCCAGGGGAAAAAATAAAAGGTGCAACTCCAGGAATTATTTGTGCCTCAGATAAACCATGAGTCTTAAGGTTTCTCTGAGAGCCACTGATGTATAAAAAGAAACATACCGTGCTTGCTTCAGCAGCACATATACTAATTGGAACGATACAGAGAAGATTAGCATGGCCCCTGCGCAAGGATGACATGCAAATTCGTGAAGCGTTCCATATTTTTAAGAGAAATTAAGGAAACAATACCATTCACCATTGCAACAAAAAGAATAAAATACTTAGGAATATATCTACCTAAAGAAACAAAAGACTTATACATAGAAAACTATAAATCACTGATGAAAGAAATCAAAGAGGACACAAACAGATGGAGAAATATACCGTGTTCATGGATTGGAAGAATCAATATTGTCAAAATGGCTATACTACCCAAAGCAATCTATAGATTCAATGCAATCCCTATCAAACTACCAAC